ACCATCTGCACAGAGAAAGAATAGTTTATCAGACAGTAGATCTGACAATAAAAGTATAACCAGAACTTGAACAGGCTGCATTTTGATGATTTCGCCTGGCTAAATCATGGGCGTGACATCCTATCTAGATGCATGATCTAGACTACATCCGGTCCAATAAAGAGCGAGGAGAAGCGCTCACTGCTGTCACTACAATGGATATTTCAGCTACAAGGCTCATTTTTGTCTTGTTCCTAATCTTTTGCCCTACTCACATTTACTGTAGTAAGTTCCAGTCTTGTATTTATTTTACTGATTTCTTACAGAATTTACAGTTCAACCAGTGTCTATCAATACAACACTCAATTCAACTGTACAATTCTCTTGTGAAGCTGCTGACTATGAAATTTTGTACTTTTTGGTTGATTGTATACAAGCTAATAGAGAGGAAATAAGAAACAGAGGATTTAAAGATGTGGTTATTCCAATAGGTGGTGGAGCACTAAGAGGAGTGTTAACTGCTAAAGCATATGATATTAATAATAACACAAATGTTACATGTGTAGCTAGTTCTCAGTCAACACTACCTGTCACAAGTGATACTGTGTTTTTCATGATACAAGGTTAGCATAATACAGTATATGCATGTGTGTTTATATCTTCTTCAGGTCTATTGGCTAGTGTTGCTAATCTGGATTATACCTTTATTAATGGATCCAGTGTATTATTAACATGGACAGCTCCTTATACACTGGATAATGTACCTATCACTGGATACTATATAGTCAATGGATTAGTGAACATTACTACCACTAATAATAATACTAATATTACACTATCAACTACTAATCCTAATCCATGTGTATTAAATAATGTATCAGTTTCTCCTATTAATGATTTTGGACTTGGTTCATCAAGTATCAAGAATTTTTACTATCAAACAGGTTAGCATTATTATCTTCATGTATTATGTTTATGTGCCACAGATAAAACTGATGTGTTATATTAACACAGAAGTTTGTCCCAAATTTTGACAATTGACGTGTAGTTTTAACACATGACGTTTTATACTCAATTTTTAACAAGTTCTGTGTTCAAATAACACACTTATTAAGTGTGTTATTTGAACACAGAGAAGTATGTTAAAAATTATGTGCTAGAATAATTTATAGTATAGTGTGTGGGTGCACCAAAGGCACCCACAAAATTACAGGTAGTAAATTACGGGTAGTAAATTTTGAGGGTATAAAATTTCTTGTTTTAGCAAAAAGCTCTTAATTCTTTAATTTTGAGGGGGTTAAATTTCGCATTGTTGCACGTACACTTACGCTAAGTCATTGATATTCACATGCTGTGCATGCACAGTGAGTATTTCCATGGTATTAATTTTTGTGGTTAAGAAGTCACCCACGAAATCCGCGAAATTAAATACCCCACGGAATTTTATACCCATACAGTATCTCATACAGCACATTTCCGGTTCATACAGCACAGTTTGTGGTTTCCTGTTGCAACTAAGAGTTAGAAGACTCCGCAAGCAGATAGTTTAGTTTCTTTTGGTTCTCTTTAGGCTATTCTTTACTTGGCCTTGGGTTGGTGCCTTTAATGCATCCACGCACTATGACCATAAACTAGTAAAAGCACAGTTCTCCCTGTGCTGTACTGGAAATACAGCACAGGGAATCGTGCTTTAACTAATACATAATAATTTTTGCATGCTATAATTTGGGACATTAAGTAAGTGTCATTTAAACACATCAGTGTGTAGTATATCTCATTTAGTTCCTCTTATCGCTCCTAATGTATCAGTAATACTAGC